TCTTGGGACGATCTGCAGTGGTTTATTTTTTTATTGCAACTCCTTCAACGTGACCTGCTTACGGAATCATTCAGGTCACAAAATCTGCCATTCATTTATAGCGCAAATCAATTTGTTATCTCTGATCTAGTCACTAGTTGGTAGATTTCTAGCTTTTTATGCGTCTGCTGTCTGGGGTTGTTGAACTTGGATTCTGATTGCTCATTCATCTTACATCATTGTGGTTGGGGTCGAATTAAATTTTTTCTTTTACTTTTTCTCAAAATGCTGTCATGTCCAACATTAATATTCTCGTAATGCGTTTATATCTCGTATTTAAATTTAACATATGTGTACTTCTCGAGTCATATCTAACTTCTATTGAGGTAACTCCTATAGTCATCTTTTCCAATTCCACTGACGACTCCTTGGCTAGTTCTGTTGGAGGAAATTTAATTGAAAATATTTATTTGCCATTTATTATTGTGACTTAGTTTTACATCTTCCTCTCTCAACATCTTATATGTATTTTTTCTTTACACAGTTATATCTATCCTCAGTTAAGAATCAAAATGAAGATGCGTTTGCACCTTTCAGACTGCTCGTTAGTCACTCTTATTCTATAAAAAAATATACTTAAAAACATTAAGAAACATTTCGAAATATTGAAATGTATAAGACTATATTCAAATGGAACTATTTTACAATCGGGCAGCATTATCAGTTATCACATACCTCTATTAAATCACCGCAATTTGTTTAGGCCTAACGCACTCTTATGCAGTTAAGTTATCCAGCGCGATGTTCGATTCTATTATGGCCTAGACTGAGGAGTCATCGCCACCAATTGTAGTATTGTGTGATCTGTTCAATCGAGCTTTTTGTCTGTTAGATGTGAATAAGCCAATCTCATCTCAGGAAGCAGACAATTTATAACATCGGTAGGTATTGTTCGTCGCAAAACTACGGCCAATGATGGACCCATCACTATGACTAACTTTCTATGGCATTTAACATAATTTTCTTGATAATCTCGATCCGCTAAATGCAGGATGCTCATTACGTTTTTTGGGCACTTGAAAAGTTCTTGACTTAGCAAAACACGTAGGTAAGTCGATGGTAAATGTCCGACTATATTTTTACAACCAAATAACGTGACTAACATTTAATGACTTAAAATGCCGTGTACGCCATTTATTTAAGATGAGATTGTGAAAAAAAATCACTGTTCGCCTAATCAAAACAACATTAGTCAAACAAATTGTTGTAGAGCGTTTTGGTTTTTGTAAAAACCATTGCATACTTTTGTTATTCGAAATATTATGATTGTATGATTATGTTACTATGATAATGTTTTAACGAAAGCTTTGCATGAATACGGGTTATTATTTTATTTATATACATCAATTTATATAGAAAATTATGCTGTCCAATTACTGATTCTTTTGAATTCTAACGAGTCGTCATCACGATAAAGATCAACGTACAGAGTCTAGACTTTCCGATTACTTAATTTTTATGATCGGAATAGGGAACAAAAACCACGCTGTTTTCTCAAGAGTTACATCTCGAATTGTCGCTATCGTCGCTTGATCTCAGCTGATGGACCTGCTCGTGTATCGTTAAAACCAGTTGCAATTCCCTGCAGGCGAATTTCGGCTTACGTAATATAATGCTATGCATTCGTTTTCAACCACGAACCAAGGCCACTGTGTCGTCGACCACGTGGGGGCGGGGCATTTAGTGGATCAATAACTTAAGTGGCAGTTTTAAATTAATTACTGTGCATTAACTGCACTTTCAATCTCTATATCTGGACCGTTACGGTTTCCATTCATAGACTAATCGGTTCGAGACTTATTCCCCCGTCGCAATCGCATATATTCAGGTCGTTTTAACGGTTTTAGGGCGCGATATCGTGTTGCTTTACGGGTAAAATCTCTTTATCAACAATATTTATTGTCTGCTGAACTTGTATGTTTATGGTGCATACTTGTTATGTTTTTTGGCGACGTAGGCGGCACAACCCAGTTCTGTTAACATTTGAATCTCACCAATGTGTGTACCCAATGCGACAGGTCATGTCCCTTGTTGTTTCCTTAAAATAAGACGCCCGGTGCACGACACCTTCGATATTTTCACCCACGCTTACGTATTCTATTCAACTTGAAAAAGGTGAATTAGTTCAGGACACATAAGGCAACGGCGACCCACGTCGTGTCCACGAAATACTTAGCAATATTACGAAGGTGTAATTCATTTTGATTGTTTAGGCCGCAATAAAAGCGGGTTCATGGACGTCGTGATGTTGGAAGTTACAAGAATTGTGCAGTTTTTGCAGTAAATTACTAGGAATCCACCTTCGTGTTTGTCAATGCGAAAATTAACATTAAAATTGTCAACGTAACAACATCGCGTCGTTTTAGTCGGCAATAAACAAAACATGTGCACGGTTTATGTCTTTATAAATAATTGTTCTACGTGTATTTTTTTGGCAAACACCTGTGTCGTAAAATCTGACCGTGTGAAACACGCTATTCAAATGCATTTTTCAAAACTAATAGCATAGAAATAAAACTAGCAGCGTCCTAGATTCCTATTCAGGTGTTTCTTCGCTGTGCTAAAAGACCGAGTTGATTGCGCTAAATAGAAGTTACAGTGATGATTAATTGAAAGCGTTGCGTAAAAAATCGCTGACAAATCGAGACGGTATCAAACGCACGGGCTAAGTTTATACCACTGTTTTTTTCAATTGTTTTTTTCTCCAGCTCTGAGCTCACAAAAGGCATCGGGTAGCCGAACCTTCAAGGACTGTGCTGTTACGCTTCAGGTGTTCTAAATGCTTCCTTTACACAATATGGAACCTATTTCGCTAATATATTATAATATATTAGCTACTAAAATTTGAAATTAGGTTTAATTCTAAGACGGTTAAAGAACATTCATTACTATAGTGTTTTTTTTTATTCAAGTACTTGTTTTTTTAATAGCAATCATCGAATAAAATGGCTAATAATATTCTGCCCGGTTGAAATTAGTTGATTCATTTTGTCAAAATTTTTATTTTCTATTTCTCTCGTACGTCTTTTATACACTTTTTCACCACTGTACCTAATGAGTGCATCATCATTTTTATCTTTCACACGGTGTGAAAGATACAAATGATGTGAATCACACCGTTCTAACGTTTTTGTGGTTGCTTCGTTATTGTTGAATGTTTTTTTTTAAATATTTTTGTTTGCAACAGGTTCTTAGATATGCGCTCGTTACTCCTTCAACTGTATTAAGTATTTATTTTAGCATATACGTGCACACACACTCGTATTTGATTTACAACAGCAGATAATTTGATGGTAAAACTTCAGGGACAAACCTGTTTCTTTAATGGGATCGCATCTGAGTTGACATTTATAAAATATCCGTGGCATCTTACGGACCTCTTACATTTAAAAGTTCCTTTTTAATTACATGAAATTTTGAAGTGCGTTAACTTTTGCCAAATTTAATAAACATTTTAAACATTAATTCAATACCATAAATACATAAACAGTTACAAGAATCCGAATTACACAGCGAGAAAATGGCGAAAAACCGATCCGGTTTACGAAAATACCAGTAACTTAATAAAATGTATTATGTACCGTGGTCTTATCTCGGTTATCTGCCGCTCCAATTTGGACGTATACTTACTTAATCAGCGACTTGTATACATATTTGCTTTATTAGCGAGAGCCTTTGCGGGCGATAAACGCGACACTGCGGTAGCGAGATGCCCCTGCGAACCAATTACCTCGACATCCGGTTCCGCAGGAGTCGGACGTTGTAAAAGCGAGTCTTATGTTTATATTGTTTATTTGGATATTTCACGTTTTATGCATTAGAATGCTTAATTGAGAGTTTTTCTTTGCATCATCGAATAAAATTAATAATAATAAAGACAGGATAATCTATCAAAAGCGGCTGCCTTATTACTTATTACTCATGCCTTCATATTCTCTGATATGCAGATTTTCCGGTACAATTAGTAAATTGAACTACTCAAACCAATTGTTAATCAAAAATTTAGGTCGGTATCCATTGAGCAACGCTACAGATTTTCAAAAGATCACAGTTGAAAAATTTCTTTTAATCAATTGAAATTGTATTTGATTATTGGATTGTCCATTTCTTAGTTTTCGCTAGGTTTTTGAAATATATTTGTAAGACTAATTGCCTTACAATTCTTACAGTAAAAACAATAGCCCCAGAAAATTATTATCACTCTTTTCTCAATACATCGTTGCATTTATCTTATTGGCTGATTTATTGGCTTAACTGTTTGAATTATTCCTACTGATTAAAGAGATCCGGGTAGCCGGTAGATAGTAAGAGATAGCTTTACGTATTGATAAGTCGCAGTAGTTTTCATTCGGAGATTATATAATATTAATATTATTGCAAATTAATTAGCTTAGTGTTATAGAAATAAGACATGAGAAATATAAGCAGGAGGAACTATTTATAAATTCATCCCTTACAGCCGTAAAGGTACTATATACCTCCTCTATAAATTAATAGGGGGGATTTTTTGCCACGCTTGGAAGGCGGGTGGGGTTTTTGGGGTGAGTTGTTATCAGGAAGATGCTGCTGCCTATATCCTATTTCAGTTTTCTTCCAGATGTATTACATAATATGTGTTAAAGCAGTATTAATAATTTTATTGGTGCTAGTGGGAATTAAAGCTCAGAATGCTTGCGTACTATTAAAGTATGCAGCTCACACTCACTCACGGAATACCAGCGCAAAATAGCAGCTTAATGCTGCTGTGTTCTGTGTGGTGAGTGTAAAAAACCCGAGATCCTTTTACTGGAAACGAGACATTTCATCTTAGTCAACCGGGGTGACAAAGTATCTGAATTTTGAATCTAATCGAAGATAGATGTAGATGTGCATGAGCCGCACCATTCACTTATCAGGTGGACTGTTTGCTCGTTTGTCACCCTGCTTGTTTAAAAATACTTATTGAAATATTTTTGTTCCAGGAAAACATAGACCCATCGCCTTACAGCCTATCGCCAGTGTCGGCGAAATCGCAGAAGCTCCTCCGGTCGCCGCGGAAAGCGACGCGCAAGATATCGCGGATCCCGTTCAAGGTTCTTGACGCGCCGGAGTTGCAGGACGACTTCTATCTGAACCTAGTGGACTGGTCCGCGCAGAATGTGCTCAGCGTCGGACTGGGCAGCTGTGTTTACCTGTGGAGTGCGTGCACCAGCCAGGTGAGCTGTGATGAAGCAATATTTAATTAAAAAAAAAAACATTTCTACAAATAAATTATTTAGGTTCTTCTTACTTTTACCGCATGTTAACCTACTTGACGGAATCGTGGCACAGTGGCTTGGCAATGAGATGCGGCGCTGAGGGCCGCGGGTTCGCATCCCTCAATGAACAAGTATTTGTAAAGCCCAACTACAAATAATTGTTCTGAGTCTTGATTTTTATCCTTGTGAAATTTATGTGTGTAAACTGTTTTATATTTTTAATAAAAACGTATTTTTCTTAAGCAAGACCATTTTCCTTTTAACGATGTCCGAATATAATGTCAGCGAGAGGAACATATACAATAAAATGCATCTAACTACACGCGCTGCAGCATCTAACTATATTTACTGATAGATGGCTGTATAAGAATTCCTCTTACGTCAATCGTAAAATATCAGATCGTATATAGCGGCAAAAGTTCGAGACTTCTAATACTACGACTGTCAAGAAGTCTGCCAAGCGTATTCTTTTTATTCATTACAGCATATAAAAGTCTGCAGACAGATTGCCTCATAACAACTTGGTAACAGTGGCAACAGTTTGTTGTTGTTGTTGTTATTAGCAAGACGTTGTTGCCCATTACCTCGTTTGTTGCTCTGTCGCCTTTTACGACATCCACGTAATGATTTAGAGTTGTAGATGTTCTTACACCGCTATTACACGGTCAGCCAAGCGTGATAATTATGCCAAATTCTCCGGACATAGAGCAAGTTCAGAAGTAATAATGCTTAGAAGACAAAAACAGATGTATTGCGTAACCTTGGGACTGAAACAGCGTTAGTTTTAACTTATTTAAGAAATTCTTAATATGCATTACGATACTGTGTACTGCTTCGAGCTTGTTACATAAATTCACAAAGTAATCCTGGTCAAACACACCTATCACAAGTACACTTAGATAGCCGCCTAACTCGTATTACAACTGGCTACAGTGGTATTATATTATCTATATTGATTTCTTTTTGCGTATTGAAATATTGAGCTAATTTTAGCTTTGCGAACGCTTGATTTATCGAGTTGTTATAATTTATATTGTAGCTTCTCGTTCTCCTTACAGCTATGTTTGTTGTTGTATTGTGGACAGATATATACAGTGTTGGAAAATGAAATAAATAAATAAATTAAACTACTCGATAGTACCTAATGTAAGATAGGTTCTATTGAGTTACACTGCCGCAAACTGCAATAATCATGGGTTAATCACGAATCATGGGTTTGATTTTTATTAAATTACACAATCGGCATTTTGATTCTTAATTAAAGATAGATGTAGATGTCTATGAGCCACAGCATCCACTTACCATGAAATGAATTGTGTCTGTTATTTTAATATACTACCGCGCGATTAACATACAGGTGTTTCTATACTTTTTATGGTTATCCTAGTGCTAAAAATCTTTTAATCGTCCTTCTCACTGTCCTAAGTTTTATTATTGTATAGTGATACGATATCTGACGAAAATCTACTTGGGATGATGAAACAATAATATTAGAGTATAGCGAGAAATACAATGTGTGTTCATTATTTGCAGGTGACACGACTGTGCGACCTCTCGTCGGAGGGTAACGCGGTGACGTCGGTAGCGTGGAGCGAACGCGGCCACCTCGTCGCTGTCGGCACTCAAAAAGGACACATCAGTGTATGGGACGTCGCCGCTAACAAGGAGGTAAGAAATACAAACATAATGTTTCATAATATTGTATCGCCCTCACGTTCTCAAGAACGCGTGCCGATTGCTTGCGAATATCTTGCAATGAAGCTGTAATAGGTCGTTAGGCCAACTACATAATATCGCGTGATTGAATATGATGTAGACTACCGGATCAGTTGAGCCGACGACTGAACGTTGTAATCACTTCTAGGTCTGACGATAGTTGAAGAAAAAAACTCCTTTACAGACTTACCTACGATATATTACTCGTCACTTTTATGGAAGTGTGTAAGAGATGAATTCAGTAGTAGTCTGAAATGATGTGTGATGATATTGATGATGATGATTGCTTTTCCAAGGTTTGAATTTACTTGGTTCTGACATTTTTGTTATACAGGGTTATTTTTCAAAGAGTAGCCACATCTTAACCTTAAGTTCAAAATATATAAATAATGTTATCCCGTATATCCGTTATTGCAGTTTTTGAAAATACGAGTAAATTAGGTATTTACTTTTATTTGAAATTATCCCAAATTGAATGTGAATTATGGTCAACCACGATTTTGCCTACCGAATCCGATCCTTACAAATGGTGTGCATGCGCAGTAAAATCAGTCAAAATATTGCATTACCACGCATTTTCAATTAACAAAATTAAAAAGACAGAATGTTTCTTTTTAAATTAATGTTTCTTCAACATTTACCTATTTTACTTATTCTGTAATATAGGCAAACCTTGTCTGAAAATTTGGCCGGTTATTGAAAAATAACCTTGTATCCAAACATCCTTATTGTTAATGTTGTTTTTCATTTTTTGTATATTTTTGTTTCATATCGTAATTATATACATTTGTTTTGAATGTTATAAACGAGCTGACAGTTCACCTGATGGTAATTGGATATTGTAGCGTAGGGGCATCTGTACCAACCTTAGCAAAGGCGGCCACTCCACTGTTGAGGAATTAAATTGAAATATGCCCCACAGTCTGTAATTAATAATTACACTGGTTTTTCTAGTACTTACTAGCAATAGAAATAAGTAAGAGACAGTGCATACTAATTCAGAAGGACACCTAGGTAGAGAAGTAGCTACTATTTTGTAATGTATTACCTTACATATTGCCTTACATTATTAACGAGCTTTGTAACCTTTAGTGAGTTTACTGTTATATTTAGCAGATCTTCAGAATGCAAAAACGATCATAATATGATAAAATAATAATAAAAAAAAACATACACAAAAGCACATAAAATATTTGTTATAGGTATTATTTATTCAATGTTGACCTGGGGCAAGGTTAAAAAGCGCGTTAAACGGAAATGTTGTTCTATTTAAATGGCGTCAGCGTTGGCGGAGGCGGCTCCCATCATATAATATCACCTACGCTGTCTGCTTGTCTATTTGTTCGTTGATATCCTGTCACGCTAGCTAATGTAGTGGACGGGCTGTGACACTATTTCAACATGTTCAAACACGCCCGTCTCGTATATCTTTTATGACTCCTGGCTTATATTTGACTTGTTCTTGTTTCAAATTACTATCAATGTGATTCTTTTGACTTTACATTCTTGTTACAAAGCCTCGTTCAATAGTCTCAGTCTTGGATAAATATTCGTCACAAAAAAGTCCCTTAGCTGTGGCGCCACAAGCTTTGCGAAATTTGACATTTGCTTTTAAATTTCTTACTTTACATTAATTTTAGTTCGCATATTTCGAAGGGTCTTCTTTATTGAAACAGACTTTAGTTTAAACCTGAGACTAATTCAAAACTTGCAAGAGGGCAAATGTTTGATTTTATTTAAAAATTTCATCATTATCATTTTACTTTCAAATACGAAAATATAATTAACTTTTAATTAACCATTTTATTGTTCAGGTGACGAAACTACAAGGGCATATCGCTCGCGTCGGTGCACTTGCGTGGAACGGTGACATGCTGAGTTCTGGCTCGAGGGACCGACATATACGTCAGCGGGACACCAGGACGCCACGTAAGTTATTATATACTTACATAACCTGTTAAGATCTAAAAATGAATAGGAAAAAGAACAAAGGGAAGTATGTGATGCACAAAATATAGCGAGGAATAATTTATAGAAATAGAGTGTAGCCGGTGTAGAATATGTGGAATACTTCAGTACCACTAGCTCTGACCTCTTAGAGCATTATATCTGAAATGCCCGGAGTCAGCAGGCCGCCGGCGTTTCACGCTCGTACCTCGGAAAACACGTAAAGCCGTTGGTTCTACGCTTGCTCTTTCTCATTCGTTGCTATCCCATTTCGCTACGAGAGTTAATAGAAAGCTTATACACACACTTGTGCATTATAATCCTGTCTTGCGTAGGTGGCTAGTCTCCGTTGAGACTTGCCGCCGTTGGCAAAGTTTGTTCCAGAGTACATTATAACTGAATATAAATTGTAATAAACAATATTTATTTTCACCATTATAAAGCTAAATTTATTTTAACCATCGAAGATACTTTATTTCCCACTAATCGACGATTATATATTTTTCATTCCATCGTCGAAATTCCACAGCTGTTAACTTTCTCGTTTTTGGAACTCCAGCAGAATTTCGAAATCGATAACAAACACGTTGATGCAAGTCATATTTTACGGTATTCAAAAATAATATGACTAATATGTATTCTTTAACCGTCAATACCTCAAAAGTTGTTTATGAGTGTGGGATCCTCTTTATAACTACGTTCAATTTATTCGTCAGCATTCTCAATCGTTCGGTCTTTGGCTAATGTGTAGTTCCTATGCATCAATGGAGCCGTGAAACGAGGCTCATTGAAATATGCAGGAAATGCATGTTGATACCCGTTGTATGCATTATTTGTACTGAATGCTCTTTAACTTGACTACAAAAGAATATTTGAACTCCCCTTAGTCCGATGTTACTAATCTTTTTATGAACTAGTCAGTCATACTTATTCATTACCAATTTTCGTGCCCATTCACACATAAATTCGTCATTGACAATTTGTTATATCAATAACTTGAATTTTATTATACTATAATATGAAAGTTTATTGACATTATTTATAAACGGAATCGTGGTTAAAAAAACGTATCCTTAAAACGTGTTATGACAGTGTAAGAATATATAATTCACTGCCTTACATAGTCCTTAGGATATCGTAAGACGCGACAAATGTCTAGAACAGGTAAATGAAATTGTATACTTGGGGAGTGCTTTCAGCCGGGATGGGAGATGTGATTTAGATGTGGATAGGCGTGTCGCTGCCGGAAACAAAGTCAATGGTGCCCTGAATGCATTAGTAAAAAAGGCAAGGCGTGGTGAAGAGTGCACGCCTTGCAATACATAATGCAGTGTTGGTACCGACTTTGTTATATGGCAGCGAAACCTGGGTATGCCAGAAGAAGCATAAAAGCAAGTTGAATGCAGTGGAGATGCGATCTCTTCGTAAAATGTGTGGCGTTACCTTAGCCGACCGAAAGCGAAACGAAGAGATTCGCAATATGGCAGGATTGAAAGATGACCTTATCACAAAAATTGATAGGGGCGTACTCCAATGGTTTGGGCACGTTGAACGAATGAGTGAAGACCGAATGGTGAAGAAAATATATAGAGCGAAAGTAAATATTAAAAGGTGTCGAGGTAGACCGAGACTAACTTTCGAACATCATGTGAGCAAATTGCTCGAAGAAGGGAGGGTCAAGAGTACTCGGATACCTAGACGTGCATGTATGAAGAAGTTAATGAACCTGAAAGAAGCGAAAGAGGCATGTAAGGATCGTGACACTTGGCGATCTGTTCTCTCTGGCTACCCCGTTAGGGATTGTGCGTGAAGATAAGTAAGTAAGTAAGTAAGCGACAAAGGTTAACTAAAACATAATTTGGGCAGCAGCGCCTTCCTAGTTACAACTTTAAAATAATAAACGACTGCGGTTGTCAACCTGCCTTATAAACGTGGCAACTATGGCAAAATCCTTGCCATCAGGCAATCGATTGGGAATGCCTATGTTCAGCAGTGGACTCTTATGGACTGTAATGGATAAATGTATCTTTAAAACGAACGTCAAGTGAACCGTCCCCACCACCCGAAGAATGCATCTAAGATATTTTGTGAACCAACTCTAGACGATTCCTCGTGACACTAACGCATTTGTATATTTGCTGAAGAACTCGTAATTTTTTAAAACTACCTGGGAACACAGCAAAACGGAGTGAAAGAACCACAACGCTAATGGACGACACACACGGTCAGTTCAATTGATCATTCCAACTGATCAGTTTAAACTAGGACTGTTGATATTTTTTTAAATATTGGATTTTCGATATATCGATAATTATAAATATATAAATATCGGAGGTTTATGTATCGTAGCTTTATTTATTGATATATCGAAAATCCGATTTTTAAAAAAATTACAACAGTCCTAGTTTAAACTGATAAGTTGTAATGATCAGTTGAACTGACCGTGTGTGTCGTCCATATGTCTCGTCGAAGATAAATATTTATACAATATGTGGTGACCCTTGCAGACGTTGTGTGTTACGCTAGGCTATGTCACGTGGCGTAGAGAAATTTCGAGCATATCACGCTGAGCCAGCATGATCCACGTTCAGTTCCGTAGGTGCAAGGTGTTTGGGAACTACGATTTTTATCAGAGAGCCAATTGTACTGATTACTACAAATCTACCTAGTAAAGCCACGCTGTAGTTATATTACGGCTGTAACACATATCGGTTGGCTCGACTGGGGAAGGACCACTTTCTTCCAGAATACCAGCGTTAGATAGCATCTTAATGCTACTGTGTTTCGTATGGTGAGTGTAGAGAACCGGAGACATTTTTTACTGGAATCGAGGTACTATTTGTTAGTCTGAGGATAGATATAGATGTCTATGAGCCACCGTATCTGCTGACTATCAGGTGGACTGTATACTGTTTTCTCATCATTATTCTAAGAAAAAATCGTCCCTATTGTGAAAGAGGTCCATATCTGCGCCTATTCTGGACTATTAAGGGCTAATAACAAGAAGAAGCGCTCTTACTTGCTTACCAATTGGATTTCATTTTGCAGATTATTCACATTACTGAATGAGTGGAACGATGTATTTATTCAATGGTTGTATTTCCAGCGCAACAGTCATCGCGTGTGCTGCAAGGGCATAGACAAGAAGTGTGCGGTCTCAAGTGGTCCCCCGACGGCCAGTCGCTGGCTTCGGGCGGCAACGACAACAAGCTTTTTGTCTGGTCTATGGTAAGTATGGTACATTCGTACATGATGTCATAGTAAATTTCATTACCCGCCAATTTTGTATTTTTAAAATAACATGATATAACGCGAAAACTTGATACCATTATTTATAAACTAGGTGTTCCCCGCGACACAGTTACTCCTTATAACAGATATATGCCAGTGAAAGTCCCATCCGAATTGGTTCACAGGTTTTTGCGTGATGTGTGTTCAGACGTCGTGTTAGAGTTTTATTATAGTATAGATCAGTTTTATTATAGTACACTCAGTAGTAGTAGTTTTATAATAGTAAAGACATCATATTATTATAGTTTGTATTTTCTACTTTTAATGTTTTCAAAATTTGTCTGGTTTTCCCGTTGTAAATGAAGTCAGATTTTATTTATTTAAAATATACTAATACCATATTGATTTGACTACCGAAAACTATAAAGTCACGCAATTCTGATTTTTTAACGCTTGTTAAATTCAAATGTAAATAAAAAGTAAAATCTGATTTCAAAGAACTAAAAATAATAGAGTTATTTGTTCATATAAGTTTATAAAATTGGTGCTAAGACAATAGTCTAGTATAGAATATAGAATAGTAGTATAGAATTATCAAAACTTATTATTTCCACCCTTTTGGATAGCTTAGATAAGAATGCCGCCTGCGACTATTTATTAATATAATTACATTAAAATTGCTCCATTCCTATATTTTCGCCCTTAGGATTGAATTTTTTTTACAAGATTTATATGGGACTGCCCCAATGAAAAAAGAATTATTAAATTGGTTCGCAGTTGTCATAAATATCACGTTATATATATACAAAAAAGAACCTACAGTTGAATTGATTGCCTCCTCATTTTTTAAAAGCCTTCTCAAAATGGTATCTGAATCTTCAAAAGCACCATGGCCAGAGTCTTAAAGCTTCCTATGTTATCTGCAGCATTCGACGTCCCCGGTGCAGACGTACTCGGCACACGTGGCGGCGGTGAAAGCGATCGCGTGGTCGCCGCACCAGCACGGCTTGCTCGCGTCCGGCGGCGGCACCGCCGACCGCTGCATCCGCTTCTGGAACACGCTCACCTCGCAGCCCATGCAGTGCGTCGATACCGGTGAGTAGCGCCGCATTCACTTCTGGAACACGCTCACCTCGCAGCCCATGCAGTGCGTCGACACCGGTGAGTAGCGCCGCATTCACTTCTGGAACACGCTCACCTCGCAGCCCATGCAGTGCGTCGATACCGGTGAGTAGCGCCGCATTCACTGCTGGAACACGCTCACCTCGCAGCCCATGCAGTGCGTCGATACCGGTGAGTAGTGCCGCATTAACTTCTGGAACACGCTCACCTCGCAGCCCATGCAGTGCGTCGATACCGGTGAGTAGCGCCGCATTCACTTCTGGAACACGCTCACCTCGCAGCCCATGCAGTGCGTCGATACCGGTGAGTAGTGCCGCATTCACTTCTGGAACACGCTCACCTCGCAGCCCATGCAGTGCGTCGATACCGGTGAGTAGCGCCGCATTCACTTCTGGAACACGCTCACCTCGCAGCCCATGCAGTGCGTCGATACCGGTGAGTAGCGCCGCATTCACTTCTGGAACACGCTAACCTCGCAGCCCATGCAGTGCGTCGATACCGGTGAGTAGTGCCGCATTCACTTCTGGAACACGCTCACCTCGCAGCCCATGCAGTGCGTCGATACCGGTGAGTAGCGCCGCATTCACTTCTGGAACACGCTCACCTCGCAGCCCATGCAGTGCGTCGATACCGGTGAGTAGTGCCGCATTAACTTCTGGAACACGCTCACCTCGCAGCCCATGCAGTGCGTCGATACCGGTGAGTAGCGCCGCATTCACTTCTCGAACACGCTCACCTCGCAGCCCATGCAGTGCGTCGATACCGGTGAGTAGCGCCGCATTCACTTCTGGAACACGCTCACCTCGCAGCCCATGCAGTGCGTCGACACCGGTGAGTAGCGCCGCATTCACTTCTGGAACACGCTCACCTCGCAGCCCATGCAGTGCGTCGATACCGGTGAGTAGCGCCGCATTCACTTCTGGAACACGCTCACCTCGCAGCCCATGCAGTGCGTCGATACCGGTGAGTAGTGCCGCATTAACTTGTGGAACACGCTCACCTCGCAGCCCATGCAGTGCGTCGATACCGGTGAGTAGCGCCGCATTCACTTCTGGAACACGCTCACCTCGCAGCCCATGCAGTGCGTCGATACCGGTGAGTAGTGCCGCATTCACTTCTGGAACACGCTCACCTCCCAGCCCATGCAGTGCGTCGACACCGGTGAGTAGCGCCGCATTCACTGGTGAAACACGCTCACCTCGCAGCCCATGCAGTGCGTCGATACCGGTGAGTAGCGCCGCATTCACTTCTGGAACACGCTCACCTCGCAGCCCATGCAGTGCGTCGACATCGATGAGTAGCGCCGCATTCACTTGTGGAACACGCTCACCTCGCAGCCCATGCAGTGCGTCGACACCGGTGAGTAGCGCCGCATTCACTGGTGGAACACGCTCACCTCGCAGCCCATGCAGTGCGTCGACACCGGTGAGTAGCGCCGCATTCACTTCTGGAACACGCTCACCTCGCAGCCCATGCAGTGCGTCGACACCGGTGAGTAGCGCCGCATTCACTTCTGGAACACGCTCACCTCGCAGCCCATGCAGTGCGTCGACACTGGTGAGTAGCGCTGCATTCACTTCTGGAACACGCTCACCTCGTAGCCCATGCAGTGCGTCGATGCATTTTGTTTTGAGGGTTGAAACGGCAACTGTCGTTGTGTTTTAGCTGTGATAGTTTAAAAAAACACATGTTCACTTTAGCTGAAATTTGTAAGGATATGCATTGGCAGTGTATATTCGTACCAATCATGAGTTCAGATCATATAAACCTGGACTAAACTTTACTAACAGATGAAAATTCAGAATATATTTTAATCTGTTAAAAACTCTAAATGTGTCATTTTTGTTAATTTATTCTGCTCTTTCAACAGGGTCGCAAGTGTGCAACTTGGCTTGGTCAAAACATTCGAGTGAGTTAGTGTCCACACATGGATATTCACAGAATCAAATCCTTGTTTGGAAATATCCTTCCTTGACGCAGGTAAATGTCCAATAAATAATTAAAATAGTTTATAATTTATTTTAATTTCTGTGTTCCTACTATATTTGTACAATACACAAATATATATTTTACATGGTAGAGCTACGCAGTTATATTATGACTGCATCACAAATTCAGAAGGTCATGGCTTGACCGTGAAAATTTTAACCACATTACGTTTTACGTTTTTACTGGCATTCCATCTTAGTCCTCGATGATTACAGCAATCGGCATTTGATGCTTAATCGAAATAGATGAAGGTGTCTATAGGCCAGAACATTCACTTACTAAGTGGACTATGTGCTTGTTTGTCAATGTTTAATTTTAAACACGCAACAGTGTCTACTAATATTCACAGTAAATTCCGTCAATGTTTGCCCCATATATCGCTTACATTTTTAATGAATCATTATATTTTGTTGCAGGTGGCAAAATTAACTGGACATTCGTATAGAGTCCTGTATCTTGCACTGTCTCCGGACGGCGAGGCGATAGTCACCGGCGCTGGCGACGAAACACTGCGCTTTTGGAACGTTTTCTCCAAAACGCCATCACATAGAGAGAACAAAAGTGTACTAAATCTATACACGGCTCTGAGATAGACTATCGAGAGTGCTGCCACATCCCGGAAATCATTTACCTAATCGTGGCATAGACAATTAAAAAAGGAAATGTCAAACCAAATACTTTTGAATTGTGTGCGGTTTTGAAAAAAGTATTTAGTTAATAAGTTGCCAGTAGCAATGAGTGTGAAAAATTATGTTTAAGTTATCAGATGTCTAATATATTAATAAAACATTTGGACTATTATGTTATTTATATAATAGTTTTAACATATATATACAGTATGCTCGCTTTAATTATACATTTGTATAATATATTTTTTTGTGTATCGTTACTGTCGTTTTACAAATGAGTATTATTTATTTGCAACATCTTATTTGTAAATCGACAGTGTAAGTATATTATCATTGATCTAAAGGTCGTTTCTTATAATATGCTCGGATACTGTATACTTTGCCAGATTGTTATAATTTATATCAATTTAAAATTTGACATTTGTTTACTCGCCTTTTGGCTACGCAACTCAACTGTCAAATTATTATTAATTTGTCAAATAATTACGCTCATCCAAAGTTCTTGTTAATAAATTTGTATTGAATATTATTAACATGAATTTTGAACGATTTTGTTAATATTTCTTTACAAGCTGGACTATAAAAATGTACGGTTGTTAAGTATATGAAATATTACTTAGTTTTATAAAAGTTCTATTTTTGTTCAATATGCTGTTTTTGTGCTAATTATTTATGGTGGTAACATTTCACAAAGATTTGTAAGCAGTATTCACATATGTTCGGCTTACATAATGTACTCTCAACTACATATGACTTCTTTATAAAACTTTTTAGAAAGTAATTTAATATAGTAAGAATTTTCTGATAAGTTTTATAATGTAACAGGACTAAAATACTTTTCTATAATATAAAATGTTGTTATGTACCTCAATAATAATGTTAATTAGCACAGAAACTGTATGATATTCGCTGAATTTTTATATGAATGTACACTAGTTTGTGTATCTCATATACACTTGTTTGTAACGATTTAGACCACAAATTATGAATTTTGTTGTTTCGAACTTTTTGACGGACATTGCTTGCTGTGAAAATTTTCCCTCCCATTTATTCTAAAGGTTATGAACACTTCGATGTTGTTTATAGAATGCCAAGTTAATACTTTTTTATATTGTCTCCGATAAAATGAGGTAATATTGTTTTTGTAACATAAAAAATGATTTTTTTAATCAGCACATAATGAAATTTCGCAGTGGCTAACAGCAAATGTCGTGCAAATTTTCAATGTTTGCAATGTCTGTCTTTATTTATTTACAATTGACTAATTTTGTTGATCAATTTTTTTCTTCGGACCCATTTATAAACACTTGTTTAATGATTTTTGAGAACTTATGTTCTTTTATTATTTTCGACCGTTCATTTGTGTGACAATTTGAAAATTAATTTGTATTGACTGGCATGTAACAAATTTTTTTTTCTCTAAATGAGAATATCTCCATATATCTTATGGAAAAGGGTACATTTCCATAATATATATGGATTTTACTATCAACAGATTGTCACTCTGTGCCCTCAGATTAGTAGGAAATTTACAAAAATGGAGTTTCTGGTGAATATTTCGCTATCGTTGCTGAATCTCGACCATTAATATCAACTTTGCAATAATTGCTTTAATTTAACAATGCTTGATTCTCATAACTAAATAACATTTTGGAAAACTTATAATAAAAAAACACATAGGAATAAGGGTTTTTTGTTATCGAAATCACGTTTGAGATTCAGAAATACGAGGCGTTCAACTAAATACGAAAAAGGTTTGTAGCATAAATTTTATTAGAGGTAGTATAGGTTAAATAAGTTTAATTTAATTGTGATTATTTTCCGGTTTCCTTTCAATCGTAAACGTGCTTATTAGCTTTTAGTTTGTACAGTTTCCTTTAATTGGCATTTAATAAATATATTATTATGTTCGAGCGCAAGGAGGTCGGAAATAAAAATAAAAATTAATCTTACATACTATGTATTAGAGGTGCCTCAAAATGATCTCACTAGTGGCAACTGTGGTTCAAAAATATATCCACATAACTTTAGTGATAAATTTGAGATGTAAAATTTTGCGTTCTATTTATTTTTAATTTATTTAAAAAAGGCTGTATTGCCAGTAAAATTGGAAATTGGCAATACTGTCTGAGATCTACATTAGTAGTTCTTTTGCCTGTAGCATGAACATTTCATTTTCGTAAAGTAAAAGATATTTTTGAAATTCTCGTACTACAGACAGATGTTAAGTTTCCCGAGGCACCCTCTAATTATATTGCCCTGTGTCCATAATTCCTACTAGATTAGTTGTTATTGAACGTAATTGGATTTGTGCAATGTAGGTTACCTATCTATGTTACATAACAGTACTGTGCCATAACGACTGTTTATGATAATGTTAATTTTCTGTCCAAATAATTTGAAATCATAGCATTTTCTGATCATTTATTTTGACCTAATTAAAACAAAATATATAGTGCAACTCCTTTCTTTAAACTTCATAGATCTTTTCTTCTCTATACTAAAAATATATATCGTCATCACGGTTGTTATGGCACGGCACTGACTTCAGTTTTAATTTTCTGTTCATAAAAAAATATGAAATTTCATCAATGAACTGAAATTAAAACGCAATTAGTATTAAGGTTGATTTTACTGACACCAAAAATTAACTTTTTTCAAATAACTAAATTTAAAAAATTGTGTTTTTGTGCGGTTTTAGTGTGCAACACTATTAGTCATTATTTTTTAAATTATACGGTGTATGGAATGGTTAATAGAAAAGTAGTAATTATAATTTCAATAGTTTCCATTTGTAATTTAATTCAATTAATTTTGGGCAAACGTTAAGAAAGGATTAAAGTTATTTGAATAAATTTCTCATAACCACTATGTTTTTAAAGGGGCAGCCCTAAAATTATTTAAAAAACTAAAAACGTTTCTTAAAGATTTTCACTTTATATTTTGTACTTAGCACTTTTCTAATGTAAACATCTCCGCTATTCATTTTGTAAATTGTATAACAATAAATAGTTTTATATTAACAACACTAAATACTTGGAAAGTAAGGTTAAAAAAAGATTTATTTATACATAAAGAAAGATATAATATATTAATTAGTGCACTGTAAAATAGACTGATAATATTGTACACCCATTTTGTTTATATGTAGTGTTATTGTGAACTAAAATAATAAACGCGTGATCTATAATTAGTGGTGTATTTATTTACAGACCTTGGTGCATAATAGAATCGGGAGAACAGGATCTATCACCTTTTAAAATAGCCCCACGGATTCCCGAATTTAGATTATCTACGTCACAGAATAAACAATAGTACTGTTAAATTCTAGGAGTTTTCATACATTATGGAATAATCATTTATAGACTTTATAATAACCTTTCAACTGCGGAGACTCTAACCGTCATACTCCGTTGACTGCGGAGCTGTTTAATAAAATTGACGGCTCGTTGGGCGCAATCCGTTTAAACGCAAATTTCTTGAATTTGGTATATCATATACAATAATAATATATATTTCCTGAATTCTTTATGAAATTTCCTAAAAACTAGTACATAAATTTAATAAAGTCCTAAAGTAATTAGTGTAAGTAAATATTGAGGAGTCAAAATTGTCGTATTTCTCGATGAAACAAAGTTTTTTAATAGTTTTATTTTATTTTAATCTTAAATCAATTGTTTACGATATTTTATGCGCAAAATTATAGGCTACAATACAATTTTTTATCATAAAACGCATTAATAATAAGCTTACAAGAACCCACAACCAACTTACACCGATTTAGAATGTAGTTTGGACCAGATGCGGCATTATTGCATTAGTCAATAAAATAGTATTTTTTATTTCTTTAAAAATATATACTTAAATTCATGAAGAAACATGTGGTTTTTTTCCAGGACTAGTTGAACCTCTCTTTTTCCTTACATGATTCAGTCATCTTTAAATAGATCTTGCTAAGTTTTACAAATCTCATAAAGTATTTCATAAATACTCTTAATGCCGATATCAAAATTTTAGCCGTAAGTGCCATATTTATTGAAAAATTATATAATATATATAGATTTATGCATTTGAGGCACTCTTAGAGTAAGTAGATTTAACCCATAAATAAAATATACTTTTTTTTGAACAAACAATTTTAAACAGCACTTGTAGAGAAATAAAGGTTCATTCATTCCCTTAAAAGCCCTAAAACCATTCAGGGGTCACTCGTGCCGATGCAGAGTCTAAAATAACGTTTTTTGTCAACAATACTCAATGCATGGTGCGTTGAGTATTGTTTACAAAAAAACGTTATTTTAGTAGTAATAGGTAATAGTGTCGATTGACAAAGCCGTTCATAGGCGCCGCGAGGTGCGCGGCGGTTATATTACATTTCCAATTACCAAAATAATCAACATATTTCCTTTAACACAAATAATATCTAAATAAAAAGGTGTATTCGTTTCATCGATGAGAGCCGTGGTGGCTCAGAAGAGCCCCGGTAGCTCAGATGGTTAGCTCCCACGTTAAATTTCACAGTACGCTCGCAAACTGGGTGCGATCCCCGCTGGCATCAATGAAATTGTTAATTGCTATTTTAAGTGCTGATCTACCACGTGCTGGGCGGTGAAGGAAAACATCGTGAGGAAGTCGGACTGTCTGAGAAATAAGAAAAAAATATTTCGAAGACATGTGAAGTTCGCCAACACGCATAGGGGTAGCGCAGCGGGCACTTCTTTGCCCTAAAACCCTCTCAGAAGTGAGGGAAGGCCCAGCAGTGGGACGTAAATAGGCTGTAACTTAACTATTTCAACGATGATAGTCTGAAATAATTAGCTGAATAAATTATAGCTAGGCAACAATAAAAACTAAATGAATGCATGGATATAAGTATAAAATTGAATAAATATATAACATGGGTCCTCATTTCTTTAAAAGGCTCTTGGTACTATTTGGATTTACTGTATCTACAGTACTATTCA